CAGGAAGATTACATTTCACAGAAAGGCTTAAGTGGTCGCTAGCACTTTTTAGCAATAAAATATTTTTAAATTAAGGTGTGTACATGTTTTCTAAGACATAATAATACTGAACCCTCAATAGACTGCAGTATAGCCTAAACACCTTTTATGTGCACTGAGAAACCAGCAACTCACATAACTTGCTTTATTGTGATATTCACTTTATTGCAGGGATCTGAAACTGAACCCACAATATCTTCAAGGTAAGCCTTTAATGGGAAAATGAGCAATATACAAATAAGATCTATAGATTACAGTGTTATAGTAATATAAAGATTTTCTTTAGCTATTAATTAGAAGCTCTGATTTGTATTTCCAGGTGCCTCTCACTAAGGACCTGAGAGTCAACTTTCCCTAATGTGTTCAAACACCATGCCGGCCTTGGTCCACTAAGGAGAATGGAGTGGGTATGGATTTGAAGTGTTTAGGTTTTAATTCTTTACTTCTGCACTTTGTACTTAGTCTCCACTTCCTATTTCTTTCTGGGTCTAGTTCTTTTTTTTTTTTTAGAAAGTATTTACATGTCCACCACTCAAACTGCTAAGAAGCAAACACCAGCCCACAATTCACCTGTGATCCTTCCCAACTCAGCTTTGCCTACCGAGTGTTCTGTGGTTTACCACCTGCTGGCAAACATCCTCGCTTTCTTCCTTTAGAGTCTTCCTCAAGGTAATCCTCTGATCGTGGCTGCTCTTTTGCAGTCTCTACTGATTACAATGCAGGGCAATATAAAGATCTTGATTTTTATTCTAGTAGTGTTTCTGTAAGAGAATGTCCTTGCTCTTAGAAAATATGGGTGGAAGTATTTAGGAATAATGAGGCATTATGTTTGCAACTTATTTTCAAATAGGTCTGAAAAAGTATGTGCACAGGATAAAGAGAAAGAGAAAATGATAAAGCAATGTGTTAGAAATCTGGATAAAGTGCTTCTAGGAGTTGCTTCACTTCCCTTGTCTCTGTGCCGTTTACCATCCCTGACCCTACCCTGGCCAACCTCTCACAGAAAAGCCCTTGGCCAGCCCTTGTTCGTTTTTTTGAGAGAGAACAACACTCGTGCATTCTCTCTTACCTCTTCCTGATCTACCAGTGACTCCAGGATTTCAGCCAGGGTTTTTAATTGTTGTTTTGGTTTTTGTCTCCCTAGATTTCCCAGACTGGCCACAAATTCATGATATTCTTGCTCCAGCCTCCCAGAGGACTGGGATTACAGGTGCATGCCACTGTGCCTACTCCCCACGTAAGTTTCCCATAGACTTTCCTGAATTTTGAGACAAAAGACCGAGATGAGAAAGCCAAACAATAAAACTGGGAGTAATAATAAAACTTCAGCCTCCATATTTTAAAACTTTCTAATGATACTTTGCTTTCATACACAACATTTCGTACGTGTTTTTTCATTTTGGAGGGTTTTTTGTCATTAAAAAATATATACGCATCATATTAAAAGTAAAGGTCTGCCACTTTTTGGGATGCTTAATTTCCACTTATATAAAAGTTTACTAGGATAAGGTATATGATTCTACAGCTTTTTATAACTAGCAGTAAACTTTCCCATTTTTAATTTCTAGTCTGTTTTTTTTTTTTTTTTAAAGATTTTGTTTTTAGGGCATGCACACTCACCAAAGAAATAGAAAGCAAAGCAGAAAGGGATGGCCATAGTGCGATCCCTTCTCCTCCGTTATCCTCTTGGTATTTGGGGCATGGATACACACTCACCCAGTGTGGGTCCAGGACTTGAACCATGGCTGGCCATGTGGGAGTCCAGAGTAACCATTATGCCATCTGCTGGTCCCAGTTTCCAGTCATTTTTATAATACAAGGAAAATTGCTACACAACACAACAGTGCCACTCAGAAAAGAGGGTATTGCTGAGACTGACATGCTGGCTGGTGGGCCACTCCGTCACGTGACAACTCAGAATGATGATCATTTGGTGATCATCAGCTGATGTGTATAAGCCCGAAGTTAGCCTCTGACCAGTGGCTTATGGGCCAGTGAACAAAACATACAAGTGTTTGGTTTCCCAGTGCATAAAAAAGTTCATTGAACCCTACCACAGTCTATTAAGTGTGTAAGATTATTATGTCTAGATAAACAAGCACAGCCTTTGTGAAACTGCAAGTTACAAAAATGTCTTAGATAAATGTCTAAGCGGTAAAGTGAAAAGAGCACTTTAAGTCATAAAAATATATCGTATTGTAACTGACATGTACCTTTGGTTTAGGCTCCTTCCTCTGTGCTCCCATTCCACCTTGTATAAATCTGTACTTAAGGCTAGCCCAAGGTGATTAAGACCCTACATGACCAAGAACAGAGTTCAAGTCCCGGACCCAGCAGCCTGAATAGCATGCCGGGCATGTGTGTGCGTATGGAGGGAGAAATGGAGGAGGGATTGCAGCATGACTATGCCCCGGGGTGGGGGGTGCTTTCTCACTTTCCCTCTTTATCTCTCTCCGACAAGCACATGTATCCTCTGATAAATTTTAAGAAGAAAAGTCTGTGCTTAATCTTCACCATATGTATTACTGTAGTTGTTAATTCACATATATAAACAGAACACATGCAATCTCTCCCAAATAGACCACAAACTTTTTAAGAAAAGCAATCACAACTGAACCTCCATGGAAAAGGTTCTGGGTTCGTGTCCCAGGACCTCCCCGAGCACACAGGATGTGCATGTGTGCCTGCCATCCAGGCTGGCTGAGATCGGGGTGAATTGCCACTTCAAAACTCCATGGACGGGATGCCTGCCTCTCTCTCCCTTTCTTGATCTCTGTCCCTCACTCTCATGTAAAAAAAAAAACTTAAAAAAAAAGAAAAATTATATTTTATCCTTTTTTTTAAACCAAATTCTAGTACAGTCTCAGGTATATGCAGATGGACAATAAAAAATATGCAATTAATGAATCAGTTATCCTTCAACCTATGTCTGGGACCACATTGCTGCTGCTGTTGCTACTTCAAGTCCCTTTTCCAACATTAACATGATAATTCACAATGTTCCTATTCACCTACCAAATACAGAACCGGGAATTGAAAGAACCAGTGTCTTACAGCCCTCACCATGCCTGCAATGTCCAGACTAAACTAAAAAGAGATTTATTGATGCATTTCAAAGAAAGATACTCTTGTCTTTCCTAACTGGAAATGAGAAGTCCTGAGAACCAAGCCATAATGCCAGCTCAAGGTATTTTGGGCTGAATTTAGTGAGGACGCAATTACATCATTTAGATCAGCCCTCAGTTTTAGAGTTCTTATTTGTGATGAAAGAAAATAATGAAGATTTTTTTTTTCTATGAGTGAGAAAAAAACAAAACAAAATTTATAAGCATAAGATTTTCTCATTCAAACAGCTAGAGTAAATCATGTCATTTTATAGCTGGAAGTCTATAATTGGTTTCTAAACTTCTCCATTTTAGAGACAAAGGAAGCAAGAGACTGTTTCAATAAGGGGATTTTACCTGGGGGGCAGGGGAGATGGAAAACAAACAGGACATCTGGGTACATACTGAAAACAGAAGACAGACATAAGATTACAAGCGTAGTGTGAGTTAGTCCTGTCAGAAACATTTTCTCCAGATTATTTTACAAAGCCCTCTTCCTGGACACTTGTGAGCAGCAGACACAGGCATAAAACCCCTGAGAGAACACTGAGGAGAGTTTGCATAGCTGTGAAGTTTTTATGGCTAGCACAGATAAAGGAAGCAGCAAAGAGCCATTTCGACCAACCTGTTCTCTAACCACGGGAGGTAGGCAGAGCCTTCGCATTTCAGAGTTGTAAAAGCCTGACCAAACACGTGATGGGGGAACTTCTTCAGCTCTGCCTCAGTCATCTTTCGAAATCCCAGAACCACATCAGCCCAAAATGGCACTTCTTCTGCA